AACCAGTTATGTTGGTGCTAAGATGGTCTCTTTGGCACACCCCCTCCTCCAGTGCCGGCCCTCTCCCTCGTCGACAGTCATGTCAAACTGGTCCAAAACCCATAAACTTAACTCCTCCTCTTTTCTGAATTTAAGGTCTTATAAACTTGAGCTCCAAGAGGTTCATCAGGTATTAATTGTGGGGAAAAAATACATAAATGACCGTTGTTACAGATTCTGTTCATAACTTTTATGGATAGAATTTCTCGGTGCAGCCAGGGGGTGGAAAGATTCTGGTTTGGTAGCCTCAGGTTTCCATCTCTGCTCTTTGCAGATGATGTGGTCCTGTTGGCTTCATCATGCCGTGATCTTCCTCTCTCTGTGGAGTGATTCGCAACTGAGTGTGAAGCAGCTGGGATGAGAATCAACACCTCCAAATTTGAGACCATGGTCCTCAGTTGGAACAGGAATTGTTCTCTTTGGGTCGAGGGTGAGGTTCTGTCTCAAGTGGAGTTCAAGTATCTCTGGGTTTCGTTCACGAGTGAGGGAAGAATGGAGCATGAGATTGGTGCAGTGTCTGTAGTATTGTGGACTCTGTGCCAGTCCGTTGTGGTGAAGAGGGAGCTGAGCTGTAAGGCAAAGCTCTCTGTTTATCGGTCAGTCTACGTTCCTAACCTCACCTATGGTCACAAACTCAGGGAAGTGACCAAAAGAATGAGCTCATGGATACAGGAAGTTGAAATGAGTTTCCTCCACAGGGTATCTGGACTCTCTCTTAATGATAGGGTGCGAAGATCAGTTATCCGGGAGAGACTCGGAGTAGAACCGCTGCTCCTCCACATCGAGAGGAGCCAGTTGAGGTGGTTCGGGCATCTGGTAAGGATGCTTCCTGAGCGCTGCCCTATAGGTGATTTGGGCATGACAAGGGAGACTCAGGAGACGCTAGAGAGACTACGTCTCTCAGTTGACATGGGAACACCTTAGGGTCCTCCCAGAAGATCTGGAAGAGGTGGCTGTGGAAAGAGATGTCTGGACCTCCCTGCTCAAGCTGCTGCCCCGAGACCTGACTTTAGAACAAG